GCATACGCAGGTTAGAGCCATGCTATTGATTGTTAAGAAATATAATTGGATCGGTTTGGATATTACTCACCAGGAATTGAACTGATTCATAATAACCAATAACCATTTCTAGCAAATAAATACAAGACATCAATAACAAAGTACCCAAGAGCACAACTCAGCTTGTCAACGATTAAAACAAAAATGATATTGTAAAAATTAACAATGTAAACTGATATAATATTTATTTACTGTCATCTCACACGGAGAGACAGGAGGACGAACGACATGAATGAGGTAATATCCACAAGTTAATAACATCATGCTGACTTTTAAGAAGAGTACATGGGTAGGTTATTCCCTGGCTTGCAGGGCTTCGACTTTGCACGGTTGGTCATGGCACACGCCTGTAATCCAGCACTGCAGAGGCGAGGGTAGGTGGATCACGCAAATGTTGTGAAATTAGACATTGAGATGTCGTTCGCTGGCTTGCCAGGAGAATGCGGTACAGCAAATGTGGACTCCACCTGTTCCATCTGGGTGGGATAGAGGGTCCCCCACTTACACGCGTAGGTTTCTCCAGGTGCTCTGGTTTCCTCCCACATGTAAACACTCATGAATTGGCCGATAACACCTTAATACAGTGAGGGAAAAAGTATTTGATCCCCTGCTGATTCTGTACGTTTGCCCACTGACAAATAAATGATCAGTCTATAATTTTAATGGTAGGTTTATTTGAACGGTGAGAGACAGAATAACAACAACAACAAAATCCAGAAAAACGCATGTAAAAAATGTTATAAATTGATTTGCATTTTAATGAGGGAAATAAGTATTTGACCCCCTCTCAATCAGAAAGATTTCTGGCTCCCTTTAAGAGTGTGCTCCTAATCTCAGCTCGTTACCTGTATAAAAGACACCTGTCCACAGAAGCAATCAATCAGATTCCAAACTCTCCACCATGGCCAAGACCAAAGAGCTCTCCAAGGATGTCAGGGACAAGATTGTAGACCTACACAAGGCTGGAATGGGCTACAAGTCCATTGCCAAGCAGCTTGGTGAGAAGGTGACAACAGTTGGTGCGACTATTCGCAAATGGAAGAAACACAAAAGAACTGTCAATCTCCCTCGGCCTGGGGCTCCATGCAAGATCTCACCTCGTGGAGTTGCAATTATCATGAGAACGGTGAGGAATCAGCCCAGAACTACACGGGAGGATCTTGTCAATGATCTCAAGGCAGCTGGGACCAGTCACGAAGAAAACAATTGGTAACACACTACGCCGTGAAGGACTGAAATCCTGCAGCGTCCGCAAGGTCCCCCTGCTCAAGAAAGCACATGTACATGCCCGTCTGAAGTTTGCCAATGAACATCTGAATGATTCAGAGGACAATTGGGTGAAAGTGTTGTGGTCAGATGAGACCAAAATGGAGCTCTTTGGCATCAACTCAACTCGCCGTGTTTGGAGGAGGAGGAATGCTGCCTATGACCCCAAGAACACCATCCCCACCGTCAAACATGGAGGTGGAAACATTATGCTTTGGGGGTGTTTTTTTCTGCTAAGGGGACAGGACAACTTCACCGCATCAAAGGGACGATGGACGGGGCCATGTACCGTCAAATCTTGGGTAAGAACCTCCTTCCCTCAGCCAGGGCATTGAAAATGGGTCATGGATGGGTATTCCAGCATGACAATGACCCAAAACACACGGCCAAGGCAACAAAGGAGTGGCTCAAGAAGAAGCACATTAAGGTCCTGGAGTGTCCTAGCCAGTCTCCAGACCTTAATCCCATAGAAAATCTGTGGAGGGAGCTGAAGGTTCGAGTTGCCAAACGTCAGCCTCGAAACCTTAATGACTTGGAGAAGATCTGCAAAGAGGAGTGGGACAAAATCCCTCCTGAGATGTGTGCAAACCTGGTGGCCAACTACAAGAAACGTCTGACCTCTGTGATTTCCAACAAGGGTTTTGCCACCAAGTACTAAGTCATGTTTTGCAGAGGGGTCAAATACTTGTTTCCCTCATTAAAATGCAAATCCATTTATAACATTTTTGACATGCGTTTTTCTGGATTTTGTTGTTGTTATTCTGTCTCTCACTGTTCAAATAAACCTACCATTAAAATTATAGACTGATCATTTTTTTTGTCAGTGGGCAAACGTACAAAATCAGCAGGGGATCAAAAACTGTTTTTCCCTCACTGTACATAGCGGACCGCAGTAAGCTTGACCTGCATACATCCAGCAGTGAATAGATCACAGCTAACGATTATGATGATGAATCTCGATATTTTTATGGGCTGTTCCGTAGCAGCTCCAGCACGGCCTGCCCCCATATCGCGGTGTTCCGTCTCGTTCATTGTAAACCGGGGATCTATTATCGCGTTCAATTAAAACTTGTTTTTTTTTACGGACCACTTACTTATCCGACATTCCAATACCATGTGAGTTCCTTCCTGGCCACTGAAATGTGTCTCTACTCCCACGGGTGTGGGTGCGGTGGTCGCAAAGTGCACCAGTGTTTTGTTGATACTGCACTGTAGCTTTCCACACGCGTGGCACATCTACACGCGTGTAGCGGCAGCCCGTTCGTTGCCAATCTTCGGCTCGACGAGGGCCTCTCCCCACGCCGTTCTGGTCAAACGAGGGTTGGCGACGGTTTGGAGCGCAGCTGTGGGACCATAGACGCACAGTACAACTATGGATTTTGCTGCGTTGCTCTCCGCTGCCCCACAATGCAGGCCCGCAGCAGCCTGTAACACCTGTTGTGCATGGTGGTCACCCATTAAAGCACTACCCAGGCTGCACCCTGCTTAAGTTCTGAGATCTGACGCGATTGGGGTGCATTCAAGGTGATTTGCTCAGAGACATACGCTATATTATATTGATACACAATAATAATTATGATGATGATGTTTACTTATCCCAAAAAAACCTCCCCGAATCTCAGGTCTCTTACTCGCGAGGGTCCTGCTTTGGCATAGTTGGCCAATTTATTTAAAAAAATTGTTTTGTTTAATGCTTGAGAGAGCTCATTCAATTTACACAAAGAACAAATATATATCTTTTTTTCTGATTATGCAAATTTCTCATCGAGTCACAAGAGGGTCCTGTGTATGGATGTTTGTGCAATTTAAAAAAAAATCATGACGAGTTGCCATGTGGGTGTGATTTATGGCTGAGAGGTACAGTACTGTGTTCATTATAAGTTACAAGTTTGTTTTATGAATGACGCAGGCGGGAAAACCTCGACTCGGCTTAAATACTAATTCACATCAAGGTGGGACTCGTCTGATTTTAACATAACGACGAATAACACCCATCCGCATTCATGCCATTCTCAGAGCGTAATGGCTATCGCGAAAGTGCTCTGTTTCACCCATGGGTGTAGTTTGCCAGAAACGGGCGATGTTGCTACTGGATTAGGTTTTAGCCAATTAAGCAATGTACAGGTCATTTTAAAATTCGCCAAAATGTGGGACCATGCCCCGTTGGCACAGAAGGCTAAATCCTTTTTCGAATAACGGCACGTGACACATCCTTCACTGAGAAGCAGCCGGCGGGTAGTATTTTTGGTCGCGTTAAACAGGGGCGGCCTCCGGGCTTGAATTGGGAACCTCTGCAACAAGTTTTCAGTTTGATTTATTTTGGTATAGCCCTGTGAGCCATTCGGCTCTTGAATCGGGTGCAACCACAACAAACAAAAAAACAAAAACACGAACAAGAAAAACATCTTAAAGTGACTATGTGTGACTGTGCAAACAGCACTGTCATGGCACGCAATGAGAGGGCAAATGTCATAAATATGCCTGGAAGCCCTCGCATCTTCAACATTAATGTTGCCATAGAAACATTGTGGGTTTTTTGCTTCATTAAAAAAAATATCTGTTATTTTTTATTTTATTTTCTATCTACGTGACTTTTTACCGAAAGAACCAAGAATATGAATTCCTGCAGTCACGAAAGTTTTAAGTCGAAACTTTCACACACGTTGACAAGTGGCGAACGCACGACAGGATCGTTCGTGTCACCCGAGTAAACCAAAATTTCAGACGTTTATGGGATTTGAGTTGCGTCGAAGATCTCGCCCCTAAAAAAAAATCTACTTTGGCGACGCACCCAGGCTGCACGTACTGGGCTGTCCCACGTGAATTGTAAACTCCATTAAAGAGAAGAAAAAAAGCTGAAGTCATGGATGGAACGCACCGCCATAAATAGCACTTTGGTGACATGACTGCGTATGCATACAAAAAACACGGGAGTAACTTCAGAGTATTGTCACTGGGTGTCATAAGGACGTGTCTTAACTTTATTTTATTTTGTATCAGTTGAGCATGAAGCTCATGTTGTACGGCCCTAATTGTGCTATTGGCGTCATGCAATGAAGAATCCATTCATAAATCTCGCGGGGAAGTGCAGCCCCTCCATATTAGAGAATGGCGCAAGTAGGCGGATATCACAGAACTACTTCTCAGATACTTGCAAGTGACCTTAGGTCAATAAAGTAGGGGGCATCACTTTCCTACCCGTCCTGCTACAGAGAGAATTGTTCAGCTCGTAACTTTCAAACCAATATTTGTAATTCTTAGGAATTTAGGCGAATTAAGTGGAAAAAACAATTCTTATGTGATGGTTCTTTTGTGCAGTCATTAAGTGACAAACTTTCACAACACTTGAGAAGCCGGTGTAATCACAGGTGGCTGAAACCCAGATTCAAACCCATGGTCTCATCGGTGCCGGCTCAGCGCTCTGACTTTTGAACCACCCGGTCATCTCAAGGTTTTTGGCTCTTTGTGTTGCTTCTTTCCCCAACACAGCCGCTCGTACAAAAGCACCATATCCCTGGGAAGGGAGACCTGGGCGATGTTTTAGCTTAAACAGAAAACACAGTGTCGGCGACACGAGGGCTTGGCACCTCTGTTGTGGTGGTGGCGGTGGTGGTGGCGGTGGTGGTGGTGGTGGCTGGGGTCTGCGGTAGTAACTTCTGCTGTTGCGCTCTCTTCTCTCTCTCTGTGTGTTGTAGGGAAAACAATTGAGAAGGTTGAACTCTTGCCAGGCTTTCAGATAGCAAACCTGCCAGGTATATGTCTGAATCGCACTGATCAACTGCCTCGCTCCCTCCCTCCCCCTCCGACTCTTTCCCTGCTCGATGATTTACAAAGCTTTGATATTTAGCAACCGCTCCCTCCTCCCCTCACTCCCCTGCCCCCCACACACCCCCTCACCTGACACACCCAATCCAAATCTTACCTGATTCACCGAATCAACGAATGCATAAAAGAAAACATCGCCAAATGAATTCACACACGGTCGGTAACGCTGCTGTAGCCATTTGCTATGTGATGCGACCGTGGCGTAATGGTCAGCACACTGGACTTGCAATCCAGAGGTCGCCGTCAGTTCAAAACCATGATTCAAGTTTCTGAAGTTTCCCCCCGCCTCTGTCCACCCAGCAGCATAAACGGGTCGCACCACAAGCGTGGCAGGTCAAGTGTGGTGGGGTAAAGTGTGGACACTTCCACCTTTTCCAAGACGTCTGGCCACTGCTGACAAACGGAGGCCATTTAGCCAGTAGGTGCGTGAGCATGCAATTGCAAGGGCTTCACATTTGCGTTTTACCCATTTGCCATGACGGAGTTAAACGAGGTTATTTAGCAGAGGGAAATTACCACAATTGGCCAAAAATAGTGTTTTTTGATGACGACTATGATCATGGTGATTCGTTGAACATCCTACATAGAGCCCCTGTTATTCACTGTCAATGTTGTCAGGTTATTTGGAGTTCCCACCACACATGCTAACATTGTGACCATTACAATGATTATGATTATTGCAGGTAACAGTAAAATATGTGAGTTAGAATCTAACATATTCACACAATGACTCTTGAGATGATGCAATACATAAGCAGATTAGATGAAGGTAAATGATGAAATGATGAGTTGTAAGCCCATGAAGACATTTTCTCAGAGAGACCTGAATTTAAATACTGTAAGTGCAGCACAGCAGCAAACACATCCCAATTTGTAAAAAAAAAAAACACGTAACGGATAAAAAAACACCATTTCAAAAACCGACAATGCCTCCCCTGGCCCTGCTTGGCCCCCGAGCCAGATTCAGACGTCTTATTGTGAGGGCAGCAGGAATAAGGATTCGTTATGGCTCGGCATGCTAAATAGCCAGTGGAAAAACCCACCTGTGCCACGAGGGCCCCATGCTGGCTCGGTTCGCATGTGCCAGTGAAAAAGTGGCAGTTATTGTTTTGTCTGGGGAGCCGGTTATTGCAGATGGATCGTGATCCAAACAATTCAATATTGAAAACAAGAGCAGGATTTAGTGTCTTTGGCCAGATAAACTGGATAAACAAAATGGAACAAAAGTTGAAAAGTGCAAAAAAGGCATGTAGACATACACTCTTTGGATTACACTGAGAGACAGTAAGAGGAACATATGGATCATTGAACAAACACAGAGACATCATATCGATAATTAAGAAAACGAAATTGAGTTGGTCAGGACACATTGCGTGATGGGATGATGGCTGATGGAAAGAGACTGGTGACGGAATGGCAGCCAAAGGAGACAAATGCGTCCACGAGGATGACCACCGTGGAGATGGAACGGCGATATCAGTTCATGTGCAGGCGTGAGTTGGATGGTATCAACACTGGGCTCTATGGAATGGTAACAGAGTCCTTCCTCCAGCAGTGGATAGACACAGGGCCGATGATGATGAATGCTAAATAATGTCACGTTATTCAGGCAGGAGGCACCTGGTACAAAGTCAAGTCTCATGCCAGACTCTATTGAAGCCATGTGTGTGCCGCTTCGGAATGCGTTTTTCATAAGTGGGATCTGCTGCGGCAAATTAAAGAAAATACACACAGGCGAACAAACGCAGCAGCCTTCGGCAGCGCCTGCTTGCTGTTGAAATCCGAGTTCAGATTGCCAAATGCGGCCTTGTCAAACGATAACTCGGGCTGCTCACCAATTCGCTTTCGGGTTGTGCCGCGCGTTTTGTCGGCATGATGCCTGTGACGTTTTGCTCCGCATGCTGGGAGCCTCTTCAGGAACTGAATTGTTCAGCATTCTTGCTCCTGAACAGGATCTTCATTGTTTTCCTGAGCAACTGAAGTTCTTCTGTTCCTGGGGAAAAACGTGAGACAATCGTGCCGAACAAGAACACGCGGTCCAAACCCCGCAAACACACCAGAGGGGTGTGTGCAACACAACTGTAAAAAAACCTACGCAGTGGTAATAACTCAAACTCGGAGCGCTGTAAGTGAGCGGGGCGGGCTGTATTTGGCCCGGGGACACCATGGAATATCTTTGGCTCCTGTTTTCCCACTGAAAAGCTCGCGTTTGAAGTCGTTCTCCCTTTCTTCCCGATCCGTGCGCTGTTGAATCCGCCGGCAGGGGTTAAAGTAAACGATGTCAGAAAGCTTAGCTTTTATCACTTCCCCTTGGTAAGGGGGGCATTGTAGTGTTTTTTTGGTGTGTTTCCAACGAACTTGACTAAAGTTTCAGGGAACGAAAACAAAGGCTGGCCAGGGAAAAATGTCTCCATCTGCATTGCTCGGCCAAGGACTCGCCTGCGGTCTGTCGCCCGTGCGGAGATATTGATCGGTGTGCACACACTCTCCGTTTCATATGTTTGGTATAGTGCGAGATGCTAATCGATATCGTCTTCATCATTATCATGATCATCATCAGCCACGATCAATCCGCTGCTGGACGAAGGCCCTCCCTAAGCCATCGCCGTCTCTCGCCGTGCTGCGATATAACGATCCGCCGAGCTCCTCCTGTGCGCCGGCTGATTGCATTGCTCCATCTCCGTGATGGACGTGCCCTAGGGCCCATTACTTTTTTTTTGCTGCCACTCTTAACAAACTTTCACCACCACCGACCCTCATTCCTCCTGCCGACGCGTCCTGCCCAAGCCCAATTAGTCTTCTTAACAGTCAATGTGACCTCATTAATCTGCAAATGTTGCTCATCAATGAAATCCTTTACGAATTAAAATACGACAAGCAATAATAAAGACGGTTATTGAGATGAGCAAAGGTTGACTAACCAGATGAACCTTGCTTTTGCTAACAAAATCAACAACAACATCCCTTTCTACAATTAATTTTTGGCAGAATTTGGCACATATCGGTCATTTATGCAAGATGAGAATTGGAGTTAAATTATTGAAATGGCCACGCACACGCGCACACACATCGATTGCGTGACATATCGGGGAGCGAGCGACACGAGAATGCCGAGTTGGGAAGTAGACACTGAGGTATGGCAGGATGACGAGTTGAAATGCAAAGGTTGGACATCAGAACTATTGCGAAACTCAAAGACTATCGGTTGTCACGTGGACATTGCGAGACTCAAAGATAAGGTACATAAGGACCTTAATCGATATGAGGAGACTGAATCGACACAAGGACACTGAGGATCACAAAGAATCTGAATATGTGGTCATACTGGAGGAATCCGACGAGCTATGAAGCTCTTTTTCACAGATGTCGAGGAGGGGCGGGTCAGAACCTAACATTGAGCAACAACAGATACAGTACAAGGCCCGGTGAGACACTTACACATTGAGAGACACGTGGGCACAAGCGAGACACTGAGAGTCACGTGCACGTTGAGTGAGTAACCACGAGAACATGGTGACGTGGGGTGGACAATGTTGTTGGGAGGCTGTGCCTCTGGGTAGGTGCCTGCGTGTGCCTCCTCCTCACCGCACCCCGCGTGTCTCTCCCCCCCCCCAGACTGGCTCTTCGTGCTGCTCGTTGTGCTGGGTGGCCTGCTGCTCATCATTCTGCTCGCCGTGTGCTGGTGCCAGTGCTGCCCGCACACGTGCTGCTGCTACGTGCGCTGCCCCTGCTGCCCCCGCCGATGCTGCTGCCCCAGGGCACGTGAGTACGGCCAGGGCACCCCAGTGGGATGTGGGGGCGGGGATCGCAAATGGGCCAGGCCTCACACAAAAGAGGGCCACACAACGGGACTATTTTTTTTAAATTGAATTGAAAATGTATAAGGGGTCCACTAAGAGTTCTGCGAGCCACGGGCCTATAGCTCGGCCCATGGCTTCCAGGAACCTGCGGGTGGCCCAGAGTTGAGCTCTGGGCTGCTGAGCACCACAATGGTGAGGTTCTCGGTTTGATTCCGGGTTCCCAACTGTCCCAGTTAATATCGGGTTCTCCAGGTGGTGGATTACGTGCATTGCGTTTTGAGCGTGTGAGGATCAATTAATTATACATTTTGAATGTCGGTAATTATTTGCAAATATTTGTTGGCTCGCTGTGCTGTGAACCCAACGAAGAGTTGGATTCCCGGCCACAGCTAACATCAGTGGCGAGTGATGTCTCAACTGTTACTGGCCTCCCCTCCGGCCCCCTTCACAAACCCACACTGACCATCGTGGTGAAGTATGGTCACACAACCGCCATGACCGATCCGGCATGGGGAGGCATTCATCCAGCAGTGGATTGACAAATGCAACGTGTTCAAAAGCACGCTGCAGTCACCTCGAATAGAGGAAGAAGTTTTCACCCCTTCTGACAATTCCTTGATTTGTCAGAATTCGGGTCTCGTGATTGTTATTCAGTAATTTATTCTTTTTTTTTTACATTGCGGTGAATGGTAGCACCCCGAGTGGCTGCAGGGGTCACGTGAACTGATTACAAGCAATGTATACCAATAAAGGAAGGCGTGCCTTCTCGCATACATGATGTCATGCAATTTGTTGTGAGCTCAAGAACGGAGATTCGTCGATTTATCGTTGCAGCGTGACAAACCCCTAATTTTTACCGAGTCATGGGTCCGACTTTGTTGCTGAAATCTGAGAAAGAATACGGTTTGAAGATAAAACGGGAAACACAAATGATTCACACTATTTGCAAAAGGGACATTGCTACATTAAAGTGTATTTAATCTCTTCGGCGTCATAGTTTCAACCTATTGACGACAATGTAGTGATCACCCAGCAAACAATGTTGCAATTTGGTTGGAACCGTTGGCCCAACGTTTTTCCCAATGTTCCGTGTTCGCTGGGAAGGGTGCTGCTGGATGGGGTAAGCAGAGCGTGATGCCCTAACCGTGCTAAGCGGATCAGAAAATTAAGCCGACCTAAGAATTTCGCCGATAAGACCGTCGCCCATCGGCCCTGACCGGCGCCCCTTCCGTCCGCAGTGTACGAGGCGGGCAAGGCGGCCACGTACGGCTACGCCAGCGATGCCCCGAGCCTGTCCGGCCTCCACGCCGCGCGCGAGCCCCTCTCGCTCTACCACGTCCCCACGAACACGCGCTCGCAGCGCTCGCAGCACGACGCGTCAGGTGACCACAGAGGAGCGAGTGTGAGCGGGCAGCCAGTGGCGCCGCGAAAAAACCCGGCGTCCCGACTTGGAATCCTGCTCTCACGGCCAACACCGCGGACGATTTACTCAACCGGTCCTGGGCCTCTGCTGGGTCGACTCGGCCTCGAATGAGTGGCCGTCGTCGCCACTCGGGAGACAAAGTCGGCCGGGCGTAGCGCTGGCCACCCACCCCCTCGCGTGCTGTGCCGGCCTTCATAGGCGCTCACTAACGGCACTTGCCCCAGCTGTCTGTTAAGTCTATACGGGGTGATCTTTGACAGTAGTTGGATATATACATTTTTGAATGTATATTTATACCCCCAAGCCACTCACTTTGCCCGGGTAACCAAAAATCTGAGCCACCAGCCACCACCGAGACTAGGAAAAGTGGTTTCACTGGTGCAGCCTGGTCCAAGCGCTGTGCACACCCTGGCCCTCAGTGTTCATGCAGGACGTTGCCGTCGCTGAGTGCTGTAGTCCGGTACCGCCGGTGCCGGAACGAGTGCGAATGGAGTTGTGATGGATTGAGGGTTGATACGTGATGGACGCGGGTGGCTTAAGCGCGGTATCATGTGGTCCACTCCACACAAACCAAGACACACGATTTTATCCCAGTTACGGCTGATTGCAGTACATCAGTTTATATCGCTGCTGGGTGGACAGAGGCAGGGAGGGGGGTGGGATTTAAGAAATCTGCCCCATTGTTTCAACTGCTGTCGGGAGATTGATGCAGAAAACGTGGTGCTGGCCACCCATCCCCTCGTGTGCCGTGCCGTCCTTGCCCCCAACAGTCTTTGCCACGGTGGTGCGATGTTATCTTCCTTGCCTGGTATGCAGGAGGTCGGGTATTTGTGTGTTCTCCCCGTGGTCGCGTGGATTTTTTGCTGTGGGTCCTCCGGTTTTTCCCTCCACGTTTAAAAACATGCGTTAAAATTATTCAGGTTGTTTTGCTACGATAAATGTCCAAATGATAAGCCAGTTTGTGGAGCTATCATTTGTGGCCAGGTTGCTTTTGAAAAATAAATTAATACCTCAGTGGGCTTTAGCTGGTAGGATGGGGATGGTTTAGTTTCATTTGTATGTGTTTAGGTGATTTGTTTACATTTCTTGTACTCTGCACTACCATCATGATTTTGTACTGTTTGTTGTTGTAACGTTCTTAACCGCCCCTCCTTGACATCTGTAAAAAACAGAGTTTTATAGCTCGTCGGATTCCTCCAGAATAAATAAATATTCTGATTCTGAGTCTGTAAAGGCGACACAGTGGGGGGGGGGGGGGGGGGAATCTTCGTCTTTTGTCTCTGCGTGGTGTCACGGCAGTGCGGAGCGGCTACCGCGTGCAGGCCGATCGCTCCAGCTCCTCCATGAAGGTGCTCTACTACGTGGAGAAGGAGCTGGCCAAGCTTGACCCGTCGCGCCTCCACACGGTGGAGAAAGGTGAGGGGGTCCCCGTGGGCCACGGGGGCGTCGCTGCCCGGGGCTGTCGCTCCCCGTGTTGCCGAAACACTAATTTCAGCTGCAAACGGAATTAACTCAAAAGTGTTTTAACAAAAATATTTGACCAGGTAAGGTCCACTGAGCTATACAGCTCATTTCTCATAAGCGACCAGGTCACAAATGATAGCTCAAACAAAGCGGCTTATCACGTGGACATTTCTAGCAGCCACGTACTCTAAACCCTTGTACAGGTTTGGTTTCGGCAAAGACAATGATTACAATGTGTAATATTTGACAGGCTGCTTGGGCAAGTGCAGTTAGCGAGCACCCATGGTGGGAGTGGTGTGGCCACGTTTGTCTCTCCAGTGCCAGCAATCGAACCCAGGCTTCAGGGTTCATAGTGCAGTGCGCTAACCACTATGCCACCTCTCCCCACTTGGTTTGAACACAAAGACAAAGATCCCCCGTATAGCCTTAACATGCTGTTGGGGCAAGTGCTGTAAGCGAGCACCAATCAAAGCCAGCACCGTGCACGAGGGGGGTTGCACCAGGTGCTCATTTGAGGATGAGGGGAGGCCTAGGACCGGTTCAGATAATCGTCACCGGTGTTGGCCATGAGCGGGGATTGAACTCGAGTTCGCCGGGTTCGTAGCGCAGCGCGCGCTAACCACTGCGCCACCGCTCCCCACACATCCACGCGCACACGCGGACACGCGCGCTTTGACGCAGCGAGCAGCATGAGCGAGCTGACCTCCCTGCACGACGACAACGGCGCCGGTGACCTGCGGGAGGCGCTGCGCCACGCCAAGTTGCGGGCGCTGCCTCCCATCAGCGACCTCGGCGAGGGCCTCAGCCTCGGCTCGGGCACAGGCGCCGCCTCCCGCAACTCGGTGCACGCGGCGTCCCGGGGCCGCGAGCGTGACGGGGCCGCGGGAGGGTACAGGGACTCGAGCCGGCACGGGTAAGATCGCCGCTGTCACCGCCGCTATTGCCGCCGCCGCTGTCGCCACTGCCACTGCTGCCGTCACCGCCGCCGTCACCGCCGCCACTGCCACCGCCGTTGTCACCGCCGCCGCCACTACCGCCGCTGCCGTCACCACTACCGCCGCCGCTGTCACCACTGCCACCGCCGTCACCGCCGCCACTGCCACCACCGCTGTCACCACTGCCGCCACTACCGCTGCTGCCGTCACCACTACCGCCGCCGCTGTCACCACTGCCACCGCCGTCACCGCCGCCACTGCCACCACCGCTGTCACCACTGCCGCCACTACCGCTGCTGCTGCTGCTGTCACCACTGCCACCACCGCTGTCACCACTGCCGCCACTACCGCTGCTGCTGCTGCTGCTGTGGTTGTCGTTATTTTTACTTCTCTCGTTTACCCAGGAAAGCCACACAGAGTCTCGTGACTATTGTTCAGGGGGGTCCTGCCAACAAATTTTTCGCAGTTATCGTGGGGGGCGATGATTGCCGTGTGTAATTCCAATTGAGTTTTCGTTTTTCTGAACGTGGGAAATGTATATCCGTGACCCCGGCGATCAATGGCCTACTCTTTTCTTTTTTTTTTACAAATGTTTTCATTGGGACAAAATGCGTGCCCGGTACAATACGCCGATCGGCGATGGAGGGGAACGGAAACTTTGCGAAAATTCGACTTCGGCGCACGTGATTGCAAACGTGTCTGCGTGTAAACCGTTACTTTCAGAATAAATAAAGACGGGTGACACATTCTACGTCTTGACCCCACCTATTTTACACAAGCAAACAATACATTTTTTTTGTAAAGCCTATTGTACAAACGTTTCGCATTATTCGTGTTGTATTTTATCTGGGTCACCCCTTTCCCCCCCCTCCCCCTCCCCCCTTCCCAATACAGCGATGATAATGATTGATTGTTGTTTTTATTTGTTTTGTAGGTGGTCCTGTCACGATCAAATCGGGCAGCGCTGGGACGGCCGCGAGTTCCTGGACCGGGAGCCGGACTCCGATAAGGACCCCAGCCCCTACTCGGGCAGCCGTCGCCACGCCAACTGGCACCGCTCGCGCTCGCGGGACCGCCTCGACTCCGACCTGGACTCGACCACGGACCTGTACGGGCGCCGCGTCGTGCGCCGCCACACGTGGGAACATGCATTCAATGCTTTGTGAAACCGTCTTCCCGGTTAATTTGACGGCTTCCTCGTTACGTAGGGCGTCACCCTTTCTGGCAGGCCTGTGCGTTCTAAGCGTTGCTTATTGGCAACCTTAGCAAAGATTTTAAAAGTTATGGCAGTGTGGGTGCTCCCGCCTCTTCCAAGACGTCTGGCCAGTGTGGAAGAGTAGACCAAGATATCCCTAAGAGGGGCTCTCTTGAACTCCCTCGTAGTGGAGGGGATCTTACGACACCAGGGCAAGCATACAGGCCTGTTCCTTCATGAGCATTAAGAGTGCCCCTCTGTTAGAGACAGACAGACTGAGAGCGGAAATACATAAACACATTCAACCTTGGTATTGGGGAAATTGCCCAATTTTGTTCAACTGCCAGGAGATCGAATCGAACCATCCAGTGTGCTAACCATCGCACCATGGCAGCATCCACGTAAAAAAAAAAAAATACTCAAAACGAGACGATGATGATGAACAGCATTATTGTGTTTGCCTCTGCGTGGTGAAAAATCTCCCCGTCGGGACAGAAGCGGCGGTTACGAGCGAGAGCGGAGTCGCCGGGAGAGCAACCGCGAGCCGCGCGGCTACCGGACAAACTCCTACCTGGTGCGGCACTCCGACGACGACGACCACCGCCGCCACCATCACGACGGGGTCGCCGGCGCCGGCGGCAAGGCATCCGGCAGGGGCGGCGATGGAAGCCACCGCCAGCAGCGCCGCGACGGCCGCCACCGGGGGGGCGGCGGCGATCGCGAGCGGCCCGCTCGGCCCCGATCCGTGCGCGGGTCAGAAAGGGACCTCGAGCGGGACGCCTCCCCTCACTCCCCCCAGGTGGCGGGGACGAGGGGGGCTGGCGACCCGGGATCCGGTTCGGTCCGCGCGGGTCGGGGGTCGCACAGCAGGGGTCACGGGGCGCGCGAGGAGAGGCCGCCCAGCTACCGCGTGGCGGCGGCGGCGGCGGAGCCCGGGGAGGGGTCGCTGCCTCCGTACTCGCCGCCCGTGTCGCACCACAACCAAGGATCTCGCTCGTCGTCGGCGCGTGCCGGTCCCCGGAGGCTCAACGCGGTGAGCGGCGGGAATATCGCGCGCCGGAATTAGCGTCGAAGATATCCAGCGACGTTCATTTGTTGCGTTAAATGTCACCAAACGTGGCCGTGACTACGGTCGCCCACGAAAGCATGGCTACGATGAGATAAAAATTAGCCGGTCTGAATGATGACGTAGATCAAGGTCGTTTCAGAAGTTTTCTTTAGAGACAGCAGCACATTGAAGAAGACCAAAAAAGGTAATTGGCCATATATATATAAATATTTACTGAGTTCACTGATTGCCTTGCCTCATAATAGGAGGGGAAAAACGCGAGCTCCCCGTACACACTGATTTTTAATAACCAAATGTTGGACTAAATGTTTGACCCGCTTTAGATGACTGGGCTAAGAGAATGACTAAATAAAATTCACAGACTAATAATGGACTAAAATTCCACGGGCTGTCATCGACCTAGACATCAACCATCATAAATCCACTGCTGGATGAAGGCCTTTCTGAGCCATTGCCATCTCATCATGCTGTGATGTCATAATCCACCTCGCACCTGCGCACGAGTCGATGCCATTGCCGTGTCAACTCAGTGAATGCGTTCCCTCCCTTGGCTGCCAATCCATAACGATTATCGATCGTTGGCCATCATGTCGACAAGCAGGTGGGTCTTACCCAAGCCCACTTTTCTTTGACGTTAAAGTTTTATATACAATCGAATGTTATCAATGTCGAGGTGCTTTGTTGTCTTGCAAAGATAGGCACTATATGATGAATATGAAGATGACAGTCATTACCATACAATGTCACTGTTGGTGGTGAATCATGTGTAGTGATGCTTATGACAGTAATGATGATGTTGATGAATGATTGCAGTACGTGTTTATATGTATGTCTCTCAGGATGCACCTCCCCATGCTTGTTTGTGCACCATTCAGATTTTATTCCATTTTCTTTGTCAACGGATTAGAGAGCATATGCAAGTTAGGGACCAGGGACATAGTGACCAATGAGAAAATTATGTAAGCCTGGCCAAGACACGTCGCTAGAACGGAAGTTGGTCGGTGGTCGAGGCTAGCGACAGAGTGGCAGCCAAAGGAATGGGCGAGTCCAAGAAGGCGTCTAGCATGGAGATGGAGAAATGATGCAATACGCTGGTATGCAGGAGCTCGATGGATTGTTGCATCGCGAGCCCGTGAGAGATGGCGACGGCTTGGAAAGGCCTACATCCCGCAGTGGATAGATCGTAATCATGATATCACAATGCCACTGTAGATGGTGATGTAGATATGATGATTGCAGTACTTTGGCACTCTGGTAGATGGTGGTGATTATGAAAACGGCGATGAGGATAACAGTGGTGGCAACGTTGATCATTTGCCATAACGTCGATGATGATAACGATGATGATCTTGATGTTTATTTTTTCACCCCCCCCCCACCCCCACTACTCCACAGGACGAGAGCGTCAACCGTGGAAGTTTGCGCGTCTAAGACAACGCCACGGCTACTCCCCTCCCGCTCGACTGTGAAGCGGAATGCCTCCTTTAAAAAAAAACAACAGGATGGACATTGCAGACGTTTTACGATTATCTTTTTTATACCAAGTATTTTGTAACTTTGTACACAGACTCACGCGCATTGCATTTGTCAGCGCTGTCGGATCCAAGCGTCGCACACGTCCAGGAGATGTCACTCGCACCAAACGGCACAAGATGAGTGCCACGTTGATCTCATCAAGGCGTGAGCTGCTCCAGCCCAGCGCCTTCATCGCACTGTCCTCAAATAAGAAATGATGGAGGTGGCCACGTGTGAATTGCATTTACAGGGTGCTTACGTGCCTCAGCAACTGAAGCTCTCTGCCTCACGTCTCACCTGAGCCATTTCATTGCCTTGCGGCAGTCTAGCGTAGGGGACCACCGGTGGTAACCATCTCTGCACAGCACAACATGAACACAGTACCATCCTGCAAACGGGCATAGGCTGCTACTTATAAGATGTCGTTACGTGGTTTTTTCACAATCACGTAATTTGCGGGCGATTTTTTGTTCGAATTTGGGAAATTTGGGTTGTGCCACCGGCACACACGGCCTCTTTTACGAATGTCGCACGATCTTTAACGTCCGCTGTGAAGCGGACAGCGCATAATTATGGTTAACTCACAGGCAGTGTTAACCATGGTGGCCGCAGGGCACCTGTGAGATTATACGATAAAATGTGGATTCATTTACGTCTGAATGTGACCGCATCGCAAGACGCCGTACGGTAGCGGTGAGCATATTTATTTTAAAGCTGGAAAGAGAGTCATAGGCTGGGGGGTAAAAAAGGAAAATCTTGACCCTGGACTTGAATGGAGTCGACAACGTGGATGGATGGGAGAAGAAAGTTCTAGACCAGGGGTCGGCAACCTGCGGCACTGTAGCCACGTGCAGCTCTTTGAGGACTCCTTTGTGCCGTTATTTATTGAGGACCACTGTCTCTTATTCACATGCATTGCGGCTCCTCGTCTAATGTTTGTTGCCGACCCCTGTCCTAGACTACGACGGAGGTAACATTAGAGAATGAGAAACCTCCCACTGAGCGGTTACCTGGAAGCTTTGACGGACAAAGCCTTCGTTGGTGGAGCAGAGAGTGCGTTGAGGTGAGTGCTGTAGCGATAAGGGGAGAGCTAGACAGGGTTGCGTCTGCGGAGGATCTTTGAAGACGGTGAGATCTTGAAATTGATTTGGCACTGGATTAGAAGTCAGTGGAGCAACCGGGAGTATTGGGGTGACTCGTTTATGGGTAAGAAGTCTAGCAGTGGGATTTTTGTGATGAGGTGTGATTTACTTATGAAGATGTGTACAGGAAGGGCCACCCAGCCACCACTAAAAGGGATAATTATTTCATAATAAATTATATTTGTTCGTAGCGTGTTTGATAGCCAAGGTGAATGATTGCATTTACTTACCTTTTACAGTGTTAAACTGCCATTACAGTATTATTGATATGTGTTTTTTTAAGTTTAATTTTTTAAATCTATGCCTGTGTAAAATCTGGCAAAGGACTCAAAAGTTACTTAACACATGATATTTAAAAATGATTTATTTTGCATGCTCATTATTTCTTCCACGTTGGGATGTTTTCAGAAAACAAAGTTCAATGTTAGCGCAAATCTATCTTGATAGGATTACCGTGTTTAAAAAAAGAAAACTAACGTTAGTGTCGCATATCTGACTCACTGGGGACCGAGGTGTAAGAGGATTCGAGAAAAGGTCACGTTTGTGAACGTGTATAGAAAATAACACTTAAACCATGGCCAAATACCAGTGGGTACGAGCGGTTAATTGGATATGTGACGGTCGGATATGCAATGCTGTACGGTAGTATATGTAAATTTCAACATGCCAAGATGTTTATAATCTGAAAGAACTTAAACAAATTTACATTTAAATACATCGGCACCATCGGCCGTGTGAATTAGTGTTTCACAGCAGCAGCAACAACATCCCTGGATCTGCTTCGGTTTTGCAGAGTCCCGTCAGTATGGTGTATATTTAAACAAGTGCCTGCTTTCAGGCAGGAACGGTGAGTAATGCTATACTGTGTTTTAAAGCCATGCTCTTAAGTGTGTGACTCATTTTCAATGAAAGATGGGGTTATTAAAGTTGCCTATGCGTACAACCATTTATCAATTCACCGCTGGATTAAGGCCTGCCACACCAAGTCGTTCATGGGGATTGTAAGACCAGACTGGTCATTGCGGGTTTGGTGAAGGAAGTTAACCGGGAATTGAACCCTGGTAGCCGGGTTTATAGCGCAATGTGCGAACCACTACGCCACGGCTTCTTTCCCCCCACCCGCTATAAACCTCCTTAATAGATTCGATTTGGCCGATGACCAAATGACGCAATGCGCCAGATCTCAGGTGTCAGGCAGAGTTCAGTCCGGATATTGTTGGGATGGGGCTTAATGCGGTAGAGGGCTGTGCAGCAACATCGATGGCCCTGTATTTGTACGCTGTCATTTCTACGCTTGGCCGTTCGCCACCCCACATTCACCAGCGCAATGAAGGAAGGTCCTACTCCAGCAGTATATTGACGAAAGAGTTGTACAGGCCTTCAATGTGTGGTACCCACTCAGCCCAGGAATTACTATTGGTTTACATGTGTGTTTTTTTAAAATATGAATGATCACGTTGCGCTCAACAGGATAGTTTTACATGAGCGTTTTTGTTTGGAGGTTGTGCTTTTCTTTCAAAGCAGTGCTGAGTCGCGTTCGTTGTCTTAAGTACTATGATTACATGCCGCTCATAGTGTTATCGATATTGATATTTCCTACTTCAAAAATTACACTCCATATTTACTACAAATGCCAATGTTCTTTAGTTTTCAACAAATTAATAAATGACATGAAAACAAATGCGTCAGCGACCACTAAAGTTAATGCTACCAAATTTCTGGGAGGTTCAACCTGAGCGTTATCCCCTCGGGATGCGAGGCGTCTCTTCTCAAAGAGACGCCTCGTTTTCCGCCCACACTAAGCAGCGCACTAAAAGAGGAAATTGGATACTCATTCAAGTGAAAAACAATAAAATGTATACAATTATTGATCTCTGTTGCTGGCTTTGGGGATCTGCAGGAGTCCACATACCAATGAACAATGTATCCTGCTGATGTTAATCGAGGTGGTGTTATTGATTTGACGTCCCCTCCCCAACACTCAAACCCCATCCCTTTTTCCCCCATCAGCCGATGCTAATGTACAGTTTATAATTATTTTATATAAAATCCTAGACAAGATGTTGGTAAAGGTGCTATTGAGGATTCTGCTGTTGATTGGCAGTGGAGTTATGTCAGTATTGATGGTGTTATTTATGGTGCTGCAGCCATTTATGATTCTTATAGAAATCGATTACATACTGTATTCATTCACATTTGTGCTCGTGTTTACTTAAGGCTATTACGTACAAAAAACCCGATACAGAGTACAGGGACTCCTCTACGTACGAATGAGTTAGGTTCCAGAGGTACTGTTCGTAAGTCGATTTGTTCGTAAGTCCAACTTTACTCCTGTCGATTCCATACATGTTGTACGGCATGTACACTAAACACGGGGAATGGCATTAAAAGTTGTATAATCTACTGAAGATGTAGATGCCACTGGTTCGTCACGTTCTGCAGATGTAGATGCCACTGGTTCTTCATGTTCTGCAGATGTAGACGCCACTGGTTCTTAACGTTCTGCAGACGTAGATGCCACTGGTTCTTCACGTTCTGCAGATGCCACTGGTTCTTCACGTTCTGCAGATGTAGATGCCACTGGTTCTTCATGTTATGCAGATGCCACTGGTTCTTCACGTTCTGCAGATGTAGATGCCACTGGTTCTTCATGTTATACAGATGCCACTGGTTCTTCACGTTCTGCAGATGTAGATGCCACTGGTTCTTCACGTTCTGTAGATGTAGATGCCACTGGCTCTTCAAGTTCTGCAGATGTAGATACCACTGGTTCTTCACGTTCTGCAGATGTAGATGCCACTTGTTATTCATGTTCTGCAGATGTAGATGCCACTGGTTATTCATGTTCTGTAGATGTAGATGCCACTGGTTCTTCACGTTCTGCAGATGTAGATGCCACTTGTTATTCATGTTCTGCAGATGTAGATGCCACTGGTTCTTCACGTTCTGCAGATGTAGATGCCACTGGTTCTTCACGTTCTGCAGATGTAGATGCCACTGGTTATTCATGTTCTGTAGATGCTAATTCCCTTTGGTGCTAGCGTTTCCTCTCGACTCCCTTGAAAGACTTACCAATAGATGTCTGCACAGATGCTCTCTTCTTCTTTTCGTAAGTCAACTTGTAACAGGCAATAGCATCGTGAACCGCTGCCACTGGCCACACGGGACGGGGTTCGTTCGTATCTCTAAGAGTTCGTATGTCGAGTGTTCGTAATTAGAGGAGTCCGTGGACAAACGCAGCCACGCAGAGGGAATCGATTCTTAAATCTAATCGACACGCGGAATCGTAAAGCGAGGCGCGTGGATCGACTTCGCACGCAATCAGAAACTTTGAGACAAACCTTTGCCGGTATGGAGGCTTTATCTTCCAGTGCGACTTCTCTCTGTACAGGCGAGCTGCAGGAAACATTCATTTACCCACCCCCCTCCTTCGATCAGATGCTTGCCGAAGCGGCACCATGACCACATGCCCCTGGCCTCAGCAAAAAAAAAAGTGAGGCCCACAAGGCCTTTGCCGTCTCCCGCCCCCCCGTGCTTGTCTAGAAGGCTTTGCCGGGTTCCAAGCGCCTCGAGGCGGCTTGAGAATCCAGTCGAGGACGGGGCCACGAGTCGTTTAATGTAAACATCAACGCGTGCGTTGATGTTTACATTGCGAGTTTATTGTTCTTCGCCAGCCGCGATCTATCTACTGCTGGATTAAGACTTCCTCAGGTCGCAGCAGTCGTCCACGGTCTTTGTGAAGCAACAATCTTTACAAACAAATACAACATTTGGCGATATCGCCTAGGTTAAAAACAAACCAAACAAAACGTTCGTGAAAAAATATTCGTTTTGTTCAGCGATAAATGCGCGATCGATCTCCGCAAGCATTGCCTACGACCATATCACCCTGAATACGCCCGATCTCGTCCGATCTCGGAAGCTAAGCAGGGTCGAGCCTGGTTAGTACTTGGATGGGAGACCGCCTGGGAATACCAGGTGTTGTAGGCTTTTTTTGTGTCGTATCTCAAAGGGGGCGCTGTTTTTAGGCCGCGTCTGTCACACACTCCGGGATGAATTGGCGTTTTCACGTCTGCAGGGGGCACTGCTTTTCTCTTCATTTGTTTTGTTCTACAGCCCTCTACATCAATCCGAGGCTGGATGAAAGTTTCTTAAAGCCACGTCAGATATTCGTGTTTTTGACCATGCTGGTCATTGCGGGTTGGTGACCTGAGTTCGATCCCCGGCTCAGTGATCCATTTCACTAAGCCCAACATCGTTTTTTTACGGTATTCTGATTTACCCTGAAAACCTCAGTAATCGACAATGATTTAAATGCGTAATCACACTTGAGTAATTTCTAACTTGGGGTTCACAATTACATTTAACAAGACTTGTGTTGCGTAGAATTGCGAATAAAAATGAACAGCATTAAGAGCAATCCGAATTTATCTTGAATTTATATTGGATTGTATCAAATGTGAACACAAGCGTATCAAATATGAACAAATATAAAATGCAATAGAAACCAGCACAAAACACGATGGCAAGGATGCTGTATAATTTCACCAAGTCCGAACTAAATGAGAAATGTACCTTATGCTGTTAATGTCCATCTCATCGTTCAACCGATTCGCTTTTAAAAAAAAAATGGGCAAGTTGCGATTGCGAACTCCAAGTTACAAATTTATGAATTAGGAGTCCACGTATCAATAATTCTCCCTTCTGCGAAAGTCACGAGACTTAGTGATGTTTTTCTGGGTAAACAAGGATAGTAATAATACATTGACATGGTGGATTTAATGAACGCATCGCCGAGGCGGGATATTAACTCGGGTCACCAACCCCGCACTGACCAGCGTGCCCAAGGATGGTCACAACACGCATATCTGACGTTGTTTTGGAAGCTTTCATCCAGCAGTGGATTGACACGGAGGGCTGCAAAGAAAAGTGAAGTGGTGAGCAGCGCCCCCTACAGACGTTAAAACGCCAATTCAGCCCGGAGTGTGTGAGAGACGCCGGCTGAATAGCGCCGCTTTGAGACGCAAAAAAAACCTACTACCCCTTGCCTGGTATTCCTCCCAAGCGGTCTTCCATCCAAGTAATCAGCAGGCTTAGACTCTGCTTAGTTTCCAAGATCGGACGAGATCGGGCGTATTCAGGGTGATTTGGTCACAGGCAACCACTGTTGCGAGTTATGGCGAACGTAATAATCGTGAGCAAAAACACAAAACGGATTCGTATGCACAGTTTGTTGAACTTCTTTCGCACCGTACGTAGCCAAGCGTGCTAGCTAATGTCAGGTGCGGGGGAAAGACAATACAAAAAATTGTTACGTCTCAGCCACACTGTGTTCGACAGGAACACTTATCTGTCTGCTTCTTCCCTTGCAATGCTCCACCGTGAAATTGCTTCCCATCGTCGTGTCTTTAACCCGAGTTCTTTATAACCTTGTTCAATTCAAGAAAGTGTTAACTACAGTATTTGTCGATTCCAATCGCCAATAATATCTGGCAATCCAGCAGCATTCGTTTAACAAGCCATTGCCCGAAACGTCGCATATTTTTTTTTATTTTTCCTTCAAGGGAGTGTACGGTGCTCTGTGCACCCGCTGCCCACGCAGCAACATCATCACCACCACCACCAACTACTACAGCACTGTGAAAAACATAGATTATCTTGCCGTCGCTCGATAATCACACGAGTTCAGTAGCGTATAACTTGTCGAACATAATCTGTCAACTAAATTAAAACTATTTTTGTTTATTTTACCAGGTAAGGCCCACCTGAGCTGAATAGCTCTTTTTCAGAAGCGACCTGGCCACAAATGACAATATAGCTCAACGAAGTGGTTTATAACGTGGACTTGTATTGCAGCCAAGTACTGTAAATCTTTCTGCAGGTTTGGTTTCGACACAGACAATGATTACAATGTGTAATACTCTGAACGCACGACGTTGTTTCGAAATGTTGAGGGAAAAACCGGAGGACCCGGAGAAATATCCACGCGACCACGGGGAGAGAGACACGCAAACTCCAAATATGCAGCAGGCGTTGGCCAGGGTCGGGATCGAACCATGACTTCCTGCATACCAGGCGAGGTCGATTACAGCAAGCGATCGTTACAGCCCACGAGAAAATACATCAACACATTCGCCAAAAACACCGCTTTAAAAGGAACAGTAATACTGTCCACCTAATCGGCGACGTTTCGGTCCATGAGCCTTCTTCATAGTACATCAATTATATGCGTTGTCAAGTGAACAGTGTTATTGATGAATGTCTTGATTTTAGTTCGTTGTACTAGTTGCAGCACTGCCAATGCAGTCCCACCAAGTAATCTTTCAAAAGTCGGAGCATTATCATTTCATGATCAATACAATTCTCAGAATTGTTATCATGCAAATAATAATGTACAGAAATGTATTAATTAACTGTTGTATGAAAGCTTCGTCACCCCGTAACTGTCATGGAAGTTGTTTGGCCATACTTCACCACGCGGAGGGGTTGGTGAAGGATGTGGAGTATGCGACAGGACCGGAATCGAACTCAGGAACTGGGTTCAGAGCACGGTTCGCTCCTGCTCGACTCTACACGATACGGTATTTGTGATCAAAACGTGGCTCTTATCCACCGGCGCTTCGATTCATGAACTGTGAGCCTTCATCATCGACGTTGATGGGGAAGGGCGGCGCTCTGGTGCCTCAGATCCCTGGCTTCGAATTCATGCAGCCCGCCTGTGACTAAGTCGGTATCTCTGGTGCAGAGAGTTGATTCCTCAGCACGGTCACTAATTACTGCACACACAGAAGAAGAAGAAACCCCCATCAAATAAAATGTGCTTAGGGGCCGTCCATAAATGACGCCACGCACCTAGGGGGGTGTCAGACATTTGTGACGATGTGTGACGAGGGGGGGGGGTTTGAGAAATGTGACGTTACATCAAATTGCGCAACTTTAAATAAATATAGACAACACGTTCTACGTTCTACTTAATTAAATAGACGTTTAAATAAATGTTTTCTCCTACAACATCAGAGTGCAGCGCCACATTGAATACACGCTACAATGACAATAGTTTAAAGCAATTTGAAGCATGTGTTTTTTTTTTGGGGGGGGGTCAAAAATCGTCCAAAATCTCGTGACGTCAATTATGGACGACCCCTTACTGCACATCTTTTGTATTAATACGCTATCGAGAGTTAAAACGGGGCGAGCACTAATCTTTGTGGAAGAGCGAGTTGGGACGGTGCCGTCCCTCCCTAGTGTCTGGACCAGATATCACTTTCAAGGGATCTCAGAAGTAGTTCATGGCATCTGCTTCCGCTGACCGCTGCCCAACACGAATGGTTGGCGCTTCCGCTTGCGAATTTGCGATCATTCGTCTCGTGACAGTCAACGCAGACAACCGGTGGAAAAGTCGAGACAGCGTTGTCGGGAGGGAGAGCGAGAGGAGAATAGGAATAATGTTTACGGTATTTTGGTAATAAGAAAAAAATCGATATTCATCGAATATTCGTTGCGTCGTCGTCATACTCCGAATATGTTTTTATTGCGGCAGCGTTGGGCAGAAACCGCAGGTGGAGCCACCCCCACCCCAGCGAGCTCATTATCATATCCAGCAGAATCAGCTGCAGCTCCCACCCCACCTTCTCCACCCAGCATCATCATCATCTCGCTCTCTCTCGCCGCACGTCACCTTTAAAGGGGATACAGTACCCGGCACCCACAGCACACACAGTCCCACAGCACACACAGTCCCACAGCACACACAGTCCCACAGCACACACAGTCCCACAGCACACACAGTCCCACAGCACACACACACAAACAAGCACACACACATTTGACACGCGTCTATTTTTAATGCCCCCCGCGTGATTAATATCAGGGCCCAACCAGACACTCACGAATACGCGTGGCTGTGAAAAGGAGAAGGCAGAAGGAGACCGATACAGACATATCCCCATGTAGCCTCCGACACAGGATATTGGGGCAAAGTGCTGCTCGGCTTGAACACACACACACACAAAGACAATCCCCAGCGCGGGTGTTAGAACCGAGGCGCTTGAACGGAGGAGCTCCAGGGCTCGTGCGGGATTGCTCCTGCTGCTGCTCCTCCTGCTGCTGCTCCTCCTGCTGCTGCTCCTCCTGCTGCTGCTCCTCCTGCTGCTGCTCCTCCTGCTGCTGCTGCTCCTCATTCTCGCCAGCGCCATGGCCGCTTGCTGCAGCGGAGGAGGAGGACTGATTGTTGCTCTCGCCTTGTGCTTTGTAGCCGGTACGTGTGGGCTCTACAACATCATCATAGCACCCTCTTTGACATCATCCCATGTCACATCGTCGTCATCATCTTCATCATGGGCGAACCCAATGGTCATCATCATCCCCTATCACGTCATGATTATCATCATGAACATCACGACAAAACCATTGAGACCAATGGTTATTGTCATTATCTGCATCGAACTCTCTTTGATATCATCATCCAATTTCACATCGGTGTCATCATCAACATTATCCTCATCATGAACAAACCAATGAGAGCCATCCTATATGACGTCATGGTTAACATCGTCATTGCGACTAAACCAATGATAATACTATTTTTCATGATATCATCACCAAATGAATAATATTCTTGGTTCTTTCGGTAAAGTCACGTAGAGGTGTTGGTCCTACCGTGTTTTAGGTCTGCTTTGTGTTCACGAATGCGGTCCGAGACATGTTTGGTTTCTCCAATGTAACTACTACCACAGAGGCAACTTAGTTTGTAGACGCCTCGGCCGTGGCAGATCACTGTTATAATTCAGTAGGCTCACATGACATTTACTTCTCCAAGACAGAGGTTATTTGCAAGCCATCTGGCAACCATGAGAGATTCGTTCATGAGGCTATCCACATATACAAACACAGAGACAATTTCAACCGAGAAGATGGATTCTGGCTTAGGAATCATTGGAAGGCTTTGATAAACCATTTCGGGTCTTAATTGATTGTTCACGTTTACGGTGGATTTCAGATCGCATCCATTATTTTCGTCTCCCCCCTCCTTTTTTCCGAACATAGATGGACTCGTCCATCTGAATAAACTGCCAAATCGCTCTCCGTGGTGCTAACGTTAAAATAACCGCCACTTTTTTCAAATTTTCTTGCTGTGGTTTTCACACCTGATGATAATTGCTTGTGTTGCAGTCGAAACGTCGTGAGAATTTTATTGTTTTATATTTGTATTATTTTATTGTTTCCCTTCTACGTAACTTTACCGAAAGAACCAAGAATATGAATCCCTGCAGTCACGAAAGCTTTAAATCAAAACCAAATGAATCATTACATCACACCCTCGGTGACGTCATCATTTTACACTTAGTAATTAACGCCAAACTATCATAATTGTTGTTATAATTATTACCAACGTTGTTTCCGGCATCATTATGCAAGTTTACAAAATACAATAATGCATGATTCTTTATTAAGTCATTGATGTCATGGTTATCATTTGCCCGTTTCATTTAAATATCACGATCGCCACAGGGCACTATCACAGTTCCCATCAACATCATCTTATAATTTCCCATCATCATCGTCTATCCGTTTTCCTTAACATGACCATTCCTTTAACAGAAAGTCGGGACAAGTGCTGTTAGCGAGCATCAATGAAGGCCGCCAAGGCACACGAGAGGGGGGTGGTCAGCCGCACGCCCGGCCGCCTTTGTCTCCCCAGTGCTGGTGTTTACACAACCACGCCGAGTACTCATTGTAAGGCTGAGTCTACCTAGGGGAAGGCTTAGGACCGGTTCATATATTCCTCTCTGTTATTATTGGTCGTGAGCGGGGATCGAACTGGGGACGTCGAGTTGGAAGCGCGTTGCGTTCACCGCTCCACTACCGCTCCCCAATATAAAAAAACACAAATGCACATCCCCCATCACCGCCACCACCACCACCACCTTCTCGTCACAACATCATGCTATACAATCATCACCATCGTGTGTCAATGTTCACACTCGCACCACCAACTTCGCTATCGCGGCAGCTCGGGATGCAGGGAGATTGTGGGAGGCCATGGGGACATTTGCGCAGGAAGGCGCCGGGCTGCATTCTGCCATGGGACAGAAGAAGAAGATGAAGAAGGGTCCCGCCTTGCCTGCTGCCTTCGTGCCAGCCAGGGGCTTTGGTGTGTGTGCGTTGTAGATGTTTGTTGTTGTTGTTGGTCTAGGTCGTTGATGATGAATGCTTATTCCAAAATACTGAGCCGTGTAATCACGCAGAGAGAGAGAAGTAGTGTAACGTCTGGGATGAACCCCGGGGCGTCTCTGCAGTGGAAGATTCGAGACGGGCGCTGCTGCTGCTGCCACTGCTGATGTCTCTGATGCGCTTCCCCGATGCTGCTTTGGTTATGGTTGTTATGGTCTTCTTTGGTTCTTTCGGTAAAGTCACGTAGAATGAGAATAAAATGATAAAATTTAATTGTTATTTTATTTTATTATTTTATTCTCATTCTACGTGACTTTACCGAAAGAACCAAAGAAGATGAATCATTGCAGTCACGAAAGCTTTAAATCGAAAATTATGGTTATGGCTTTGATGTTTCTGCTGCTGTCCACTGCTGGCGTTGTTGATTCTGCTGATACTGATACTGGACTGCATTGATTTATGACGCTCTCTCTGCTGCTGCTGCCCTTTCTGATATTGTTTCTGCTGCTGTTTCCCACCACGCTGCTCCGCCTGCTGTTTCTGTTTCTGCTGTTTCATTTGCTGCTGTTGCTGATGTTTCTGATGCTACTGCTGCTATTGCTGCTGTTTCTACTTATAATGCTTTTGATTATGCTACTGCTGGTGGTGTTGATGGATATGTTTCCACTAATTCTGCTCACGTTACTGATACTGTATCTGGCGCTGCTGATGATAATCATGTTTTTGATGCCCCTTCTGATGCTGCAGCCAACTACTGCTGATGTTTATGTGCCCGGGGCAGTTCATGCCACCGCTGCCGTTGAGATGCGATATGAGAGATGGCCGGAACGACGGTCACGCATTTTCTGAAAGTGAACGGATACTCACCATGACATGTGATGGATGCTGGGGTGAGAGGTGTCCACCAGATAACAGTACAGCAAGTGGGATCATGAGCCTAGCTGTGCTGTGGGGTTTCTCCGGGTACGTAGATTCCCTGCCGTACACATGGAGCAAAGTGCTCATTGTTTATTTCAAAAGGAATCGACCAAGCATCCCAGTGTATCAGGGACCTCCTGAAAAAAAGAGCCTTGAAACTCAGTGAGGCCTTGATGGCACCTGGGTTACTCATTTGATCCACCCTGGGGGGGATGATTATGAGCGGACCACGGTAACTCGGTGAACCCATTGATATAAATGTTTAGTATAACCGGTTACCACTTACAGTCTTCCTCGGTGCACTGCAGTCTCTTATTAGCGTTACTAAGTTAGAAAACCTGCGTCTTCATGCATCCTCGTCAAATCCATCTCGTCTTAGTCACGCTTTGGTCTCTGGCGGGCAGTCATTGCCACCGTCGCGCTTGATGATATTCGTCCACTCGTAGTCATCGTTGACGATAAATGCACATTCTAGATTTGAAGCTTTCGTGACTGCAAGGATCCATACTCTTTGGTTCTAGACTGTTTCTGTCGGTCATCTCGTTAACAAATCTCACAGCGGCGTCAGGAATGGCGGGATAATGTGGGCGGTGGGAGGAACAGGATGAGGCATTGACTCTTTAATCGCCAGATAATCTGCCAAATTGGCCATAAGAAAAGCCAGCAATACGATAAAGCTGCTGCTGGGATTATCCGCGTCTGTGAAAACGAGCAATCGGAATCGACCCGAGTTCGATGATCGCTCACAATCAGCAGCAGTTGTGAATATGTGAACCGGTACTGGGCCTCCCCTAGGTCGACTCAGCCTTAAACGAGTACCTGGCGCAGTGCGTAAACATCGGCACTGGGGCGGCCGGGCGTGGTGTTGGCCGCCTACTCCCATCGCGTGCCGTGTCGGCGTTCGTCGGTGCTCGCCCCCGGCATTCTGCTTAATCTACAAGGGGCTGGGGGGGGCCTCTTTGTTGTCTCTGCTTGACGCAGCAAGCCCAGTGGAGGCCGTGTGCGTGGAGGTGGACTCCGTCGACAGGGTGGTGGTGAACAACACGATCAAGCTGACGTGCATCTCGTGTCGCAAGCGGCAGGAGCAGGACGCCTTTGTGGACGTCACTTGGACGTTCCAGCCCGACGGAGAGAACACGACCGCCGTGGACGTGAGTCACGCCTCCTCGCTCTGCTCACAGTCCTCACTCTCCTCTCTCTCCTCTCTCTCTCCTTACTCTCCTGTCTCTCCTCTCACTCTCCTCTCTCTCCTCTCTCTCTCCTTACTCTCCTCACTCTCCTCTCTTTCTCTCCTCACTCTCCTCGCTCTGCTCACAGTCCTCACTCTCCTCTCCTTACTCTCCTCTCTCTATCCTCTCTCTCCTCTCTCTCCTTACTCTCCTCTCTCTCCTCTCTCTCCTTACTCTCCTCACTCTCCTCTCTCTCCTCTCTCTCTCCTTACTCTCCTCGCTCGGCTTTGCTCATTCTCCTCGCTGTCCTCTCGTCTCTCTCCTTACTCTCCTCTTTCTTCCTTGCTCTCCTGTCTCTCCTTACTCTCCTCGTTCTCCTCGCGCTCCTCTTTCTCCTCCTTCTTCCTTACTCTCCTGTCTCTCCTTGCCCTCGTCGCTCTCCCTGCTCCTTGTCTCGCCGTCGGGCATCGCGGGCATCGCGGGCGACGCTGCGTTGCGTTGGCTAGGAGCTGTTAGCTACCGCGCCAGCTATAGCAGGATGTCGTGGGTTTTATTAAAACCCCTGATGATGCCTATTGTATGTTTGGAGTTTGAGTGTGTCTCTCCCGAGGGTCACATGGATTTTTCAATGGGTTATCCAATTTTCCCCTCCACCTTTAGAATCAACATACGTTCGGATTATTTGGTTGCTATAAATGTCCACGTGATAAGCCACTTTGGTGCGCAATCGTTTTGTTTGCCAGGTCACTTCTGTAAGAAGAGCTGAGAGCTCAGTGGGCTCTACTTTGTGAATAAAATAGTTTAGTTTAGCTATGCATGTGGCCCATTTGTGATGGCGATTGCTTGGTCGTCATCTAGCAGTGGATAGAATGTGGCTAGTTAACAGCACACCTGTCAACCCACACGTTTCACCCGTATTCTTGTACAGGGAGATTGAGTTTTCAGGTCCATACGGCGTACGGCCGTTTCAATGCGGGCAAAATAATGTTGTCTATTTGTTTGTGTTTCTCCCTTGTGATGGGACTTTGTAGGATGAACGTTGAGATTTATAAGGGGGCACGGGGTGACCAATAAGGCCTGAATTGGTCTGTAATAAGATAGGGCACTGATAAGGGGTTGACAGGTATGTGACAGTCATGTAGTGATGATTATGACGATGATGATAAATACAAACATCTTCCATACACTATGAGTAGAAGCAGTAGTAGTGTTTTTTTTCACGGTGCAGAAGTGTGGCATAGTGTTGAGTGGCGCAGTGGAATGGTGTAGTCGTGCACAGAAGTGGTGTAGCGGTGCAGTGTTTGCATGTCGTGGTGTGGCGTAGGGGTGGAGTGTGGTCCTACAAAACCTTGACCTGTCCTAGGTGCGTGCGGATGTGGCGACTCTTTCACCAGTTGACCTCGTGAGCGTGCGCCAATGTTGAGGCCAGTGGCTGTGGAGATTGTCAGTGGTGGGCAAAGTCTGCCGAGTTGCAGGAGAGTCGCGTGTCCGGGGTTCGTCGACGGCCATGTCCGGCGAGTGTCTCCCGGGTGGGTAGGTGTCGGCCGTGTCCGGCGAGTGTCTCCCGGGTGGGTAGGTGTCGGGCGTGTTTGGCGAGGGTCGTGTGGATGACTGGTGAGTGGTGACGTGGGAGTGGCCGAGGTGTCTGGTGAGTATCTGGCGACGGTGTGAGGTGGTGAGTAGTGTCGGGGTGTCCGAGTGAGTGTTGAGACTGGCTAACAGAGAAGGGGTGGGGCCAGTGGTGGAGAAACCGGTGTGGAGAGAATAGTTGGGAGAAGGGGAGTGAGCCGATGTGGAAGATAACATCGTCTGTAGGATGGGCTGACATGTGGAGAGAATAGTTGGGAGAAGGGGAGTGAGCCGATGTGGAAGTTAACATCGTCTGTAGGATGGGCTGACATTTAGTTAAAGAAGTATTGGGCTTGGAAAGGAAGACCAAGCTTCTTCAATGCCTGCGTAGCCAGATAGGTAATATAGCAGCTAATGTAAGATTGTTTTGCCAAGCAGATTAAGAAAATAATTGTTAATATGCGAGAAACTGTGATATTGGCAGCCTTACCTGATATTATCATTGTTTGTCTCTCATTGTAATTCCAAGCACACGCCACTCTACGCCTCTTTCACACTTTTCAACGTCGCGTTTTCTTTTGTCGGTGTCCACCATGTGTTTTTTTAACCACTGCACCGTTTTTTTTTTTAATTTTGTTTTGCAAAAAAGCATTTTTTTCATAACCAAAAAACAGAAAGCAAAGCAAAAAAAAAACATCTCACCACCTGAGTGCAGATCCTGGTGATGAAACGAAATGGTGACGACGTTGAATTCACGAACCTGCAGTTTGGCAGCAGTCGTATGCAGTTCGTCTACAGCGAGGACTACCAGGTAGGGTCAACGCGATGTGGCGATACTATGATACAAGTTCCGTGATAATCATAACCTCTGTATGGTAAATAATATAATGTCATGTCGGATGTTGCTGGTGCATGCCTGTAATCCAGTACTGTGGAGGTAAGGGTTGTTGGATCGCACAAATGTTGTGAAACGTTCTTTCTGTAGGCGTTGAGGAGGAGCCATACCTGTTGCTCACCAGGAGAAGGAGGTCCAGCAAAGTGCGGACTAATTTCCATCTGTCCCTTCTGTATGGGATAGAGGGTTGTCCCCCCGTATTGGTTGAAAACATCTTAAGATGTAGAGGATTGCAGAGCTTGGGTAATTGTTGGCCCCGGCTCACCGTCTGGTGGCTTGCCTTCCAGCTGTTGTGGTGCCTCAGGGATTATGAGATTGAATTTGCTCGAATGACGGTTCTATAATACGACACAAAATAAGTATTAAAGAAGATTTTCTATCTACAAAATAATAAACACTGATTAAAGTTCTAGATAAATGCTGAAAATAAATGAGTGCTTTTAATAATGCTCGGTGTAAATGTCGACATGGGTTTTGTACGATGTAATTATTTTCATGGTTCATTTCACGATTTAACGTGTAACTGACAGCATGTGTGTTGCAAGCGTTGTAGATGGTAAAATATGCAGTGATGTACAAACTAAAGGCCAAAAACACTTTAATACTGTATATAGAGGACGACAGAGCTTGGGGTGAAAGATTGGCGCTGGCGCGCCACCTGACCACCCTTCCCGCTCGTCTCTGGTTCCTCCTCGCACCTCCGAGTCGTTGTCTCTCTTCGAGAGCGAGCGGAAACGGTGCGGCAAGTTACAAAGTTGAAATTATTATTGGTAAAAAATAAAACCTATGGCTGGCTCATGAATAATAATATATCGACGAACTTTGCTAGTTATTTCAGAGGCCAGCGGTTTAAGCACGGCGAAATCCCTGGTTAATCCTGCAGGGATATTAAACATGAAGATACACCATTAGCTTTTAAAGATCCTGTGATGTTATTCAAAAGACAGTCGCCCATCTGTGCTGGCGTCACGGTCCAAGTACTTCATTTTTTTATACAATTGCTCTCAAATTGCTTGTTCATTGGGAAGCCACGTAGAAATATTGCTTCGTCCTGCCCAACTAATGCCCACTCCGGGGCTGCGTTCACCACCCAGTGCTGCATAGGGACAGCTGCCAATGGGGGTCCCCTACCGCAGGGCGCCCCGAGTTGTACTGCGTGGCAGGCGTACATACTAAGTGATGACGATGGTAACGATGATGCTCCCCACTAACAGGAGGTGTCCCTGAACATCAACGACACTAAATTAGAAGACAAGGGGACCTACCGTTGCCATATCCGCCGCGTCCCCGTGATGCCCTCCGTCCACAAGCCCCCTGAGTTCTTTGTGACGAAGACCATCCACCTCGAGGTGGTCCCCGAACGTGAGAAGCTGCCACACCACTCACCACTCCGTCTTTGCACGCAGCGGCCGGAGTACGACGCGGGCTTTAGCGGGGATGCAGCGCAAGGCATGGGACTTTGATGTCGCCACAAAAACGATAAGCAATTTTGAAGACAATTAATTAGAATCTTTGCGACCATGTGGCTAGGAACAACGTGGTGGATTACTAAGCCATGATAAAGAAAGAGCGAACCATCTTGCCATGTCGCTTGGTCTGCGATGCGAGCACGTGATGGTTTAATCTGTTGAGCGGCGGTGCGAACGTGGTGCAGTTTAGAACCTGTACATGTTTGAAATTATTTATCCTAAGTAAAATATATTGCTTTTATAATGGCTGCAATGCAACTGCGTCAGAGATAAAACCTACAGATACATTGGTTTTAAAGTCATAGCATCGTTTTGCGTATTACTGCCAGTTAAGTGCTAAAAATTTAAATAGTTTAGTTCATTTTTTACTTTGGTGTCCCTTTACAATTCGTATGTCACATTTAAAAACCAGAACTGAAATAATCAAGGCGAGCAACTTGTGAGTATTGGGCTTCGGGCATGGGTGGTGGGTAAACAGCCGAGGAAATTATATTTTTTAGGCCAAGTGGGGCTTCCAAAAAAATCACTCCGATACTGCTGACAAACTCAAACAATAGAGGGGAAAACATTCACACACGTGCTACGCTTTCTAACGTGGCTTTGTTCTGAGAAGTTTTGACTGAGAACTACGGAAGTCGACGGGGTTGCTGTCAGGGCAAGATGTACACGTATGTGCGTATTTATAAACGCAGCCCTTTTTACACTTGTTTTCATCTCTAAGTGTTGGGCAACGCTTTGATCCCTTTGGCCCGTTTCAATTGGGTAAGTTCCTCATAGCAACACAACTTTATTGTAAATTTCCCTTCATTTTGGATCTCCTTTACGAGCGTTTTCAGCGCCACAAATCCCCCATCACATAAAATTTGGTTCTACACTTAATTTTGCTAAATGCCAGCTCTAAGAATTCAATATGCAATTTGCATAACACCGGAGGGGGGGGGGTAAATGAAAACAACAACAACAACAGCATAAAGAGAGAGACCGTGGTTTTTATTCCCTGTTCGCTGGTGCGCAGCCTTCATGGACATAACGGCAAAGGTGTCGGAGGTGATGATGTACTTCATGATCGTCGCTAGCACTGTGCTGCTCATCTTCACGCTCATCACGTGCTACATGAAAGTGAAGCAGGCTGACAAAGACAAGCACAGCAAAGTGTGAGTGCCACAACCAGTTTTAACGACGAGCTGCACACTATGCACGTCATGCATTCAGAAAATGTGTCGAGGTGTTAACGCTCGAGCCTTGTATGTAGGAGGTCATGGGTTCGACCCCGACCCCGACGCCTGTTTATTTGGAGTTTGCGTGCCTCACTCTCTCGCCCGCGTTCCCAGCCCTCACCAATCCGATGTGACCAGCGTGCGCTGGAGTACGGTCAAATAACCCCCCCTCCTCCCCCGGCGAGGCGTTGGGGAGGCCCTTATCCAGCAGCGGATGTGCGACGGGGGCCTGTCGATGTTCTACGCGCACACGTGAACCTTCGCTCATCCTTTTCCCCTCTCCCGCCGCGCCGCAGCACGGACCTCTTGGTCATCGCCCCGGTGAACAAGGAGAACTGCGCTACAGAGCAGGCGGAGGAAGAGCTCAAGAGCAGCTCCTGAGCCGCTCGTGCAGCCACCAGGAGCTCGGACGCCGCAAGAGCTGTTCTCTTACGGCACGGCCCAGCGGGGTGGGCGCCGCCGCCATCGCCATTCGTCGGCTTTCCAATGTTTTCTCTTTTTTATTTTTTGCCTTCTTCCCTCCCCCAACTCACCCCCCCCTCCCCCCACGTGTGAGATGGAACGCGACCGAAAGGATGTCCACCGAGGTCGATGGAGCGATGAGATCACGTCGCGTGCAGGTTCTGGGGGGGATCACTGTATCGCATGATCGTGAGAGATGACGACGACCAGGCCTTAATCCAGCAGTGGATTAAAAATTGTTGATGATTATGAAAAGCACTATATATTCTATACAAAAATATTACTCGGAAATTATTAGAACGTGTATTCAGATCCCCTTCCAGGAAATGTATCCTACTCATGACCTGGATAAAAAAGGTATGTGATGTGTTAACAAGGACACTCAATTGATTTTGATAACGTTGAAGTGTTGTGTAAAACTAATTATTACTGGCAAAGACTAATTAGAGAATCCATTGAAATTGAGAGAAATAGAAATAACTTTAATCGCTCTGATAGCTATAGGCTTAGTGCGGCTTGGAAGCATATTATTAAATAAAACATATTACAATTCCTTATAGGGGAAACATACTAATTAACGGATTACTAATGTAGCATATAATCACAATAATACACATTACAACTATTTACTAATCTACAACTCATTACTAATCATAACCATTGACTGATTACCAATCGATTATATAATTACTGCACCTGAATGAGTTAAATGATGACGTCACCCTGCTGCTCTATTTAAGACCGGGAGCAAGTGAGGGCGTTACCATTCTGGCGAATTGCCCGATGATGCTGGATGTAATTACCAGCGAAACGTCGTATTCAAACTGTAAATGTTGTGGATTCACTCTTCAACACACCGGTGGGCTAAATGAGTGAACTAATTGTCTTTTGTCAACGTGACACTTTTTTATTATGAGTAAAAAGGTATGTCCGTTAAATGTAAACGCATTTAGGGCATGGTGAATAGGAAGCATAAATTGAATCATTTGGCGGGACCCCGGGGTCCCGCAAAAATCAAGTCAATAATTATTATTTTTCAGTCCGCCCACTCGTGATCCCGACAGCAACGCGCCGCCCGCCCAGACTCGCGCCAACAAGCGCCAGCAGGCGGCGATCAACACGATGGGCGCCACCCCACCGGCCAAATGCGAGCCCGGGCGTCCGCCGCAGTCGCGCGCGGCGACGACGCCCTCCGGTCAGCCGTCAATCCTCAGCTTCTTTGCCAAGGCGAGCCCGCCCCCCCAGGCAGTGAATTTAACGTGTTTATGTAATTTTTCTACTTTTTACGAAACTTAGTGCCCCGAGTAGCTCTCGACGAGGCCAATCGATTGACGCTAGTTTTGTTGTCGGTAAGGCAAGACTCGTGTCGCTACGCGGTTTTTCCCACCCCGGGGCAGTGATGGGACCCCGGGGTCCCGCCAATTGCTTCAATTGGCTCCATGTGACGAATTCCATCCAATCACAGGCAGCGCATATCAGGTTGGTGTGAAAACGGTGTGTAAATTGCAGAACATGTCACAGATTCGATCCAATCACAGACATCTCTTATCAGAAAGCACCTGTGGGGAAAAAAACTAACGATTCAAAGTACATCAACACTAGTAAATCCTTCATAAGAGACAATTCTATAGTGGAATGGTAGAAACTTACTCAACTCAAATATATAAAAACAAAGGTGATTTTACTCAAATGTTGATTTTTCCTGCTTATCAGAAACTTGGTGAATGTTATCGTTTTTAGTCATTTTTATTTCTATTTTGTATCCTCACGTAATTTGATCTTGTATTGATTTCATAAAAGGGGTGGAATTGCTTTGCCTCTCCAAACTTGTGTTTATCTGTAACGTATACACATCAGGGGCTGGTTGATCATGCAGAGATGTGGGAGACTCGCTGGGCCGACGACGCAGTGGTCACGAAATGACAGTACGGCAAATGGGTTTGTAAAGCCATTCATGTAGGCCTTTGAATGTTACCCTCCCTCCTCGTATGCATGGGGTTTTAGTTTTTCGCTTCATACTCAGGATTCCTCCGATGTGCAAAACAGGTTGCGGCCAAACGTCCCAATGCTGCAGAATCCTCGTTAAAAAGTCTTGAGACTCGGCAAAGCTTTGCTGGATTTATAACTGGCATTATTCCATTTGTGAGCACAGGAGTGGATTCATTGGGGGTGGATAGCCTTAACTCGTACAACAAACGCTGACACTATTAAGTTTGGTGTTGTGTTCTACGCCATGTGACGATTTTTTTTAATTAAATCATTTTGCGTATTCTGTAGCTTTTATATGCAGGATTAGATAAAGCTATGCATTTCTTGTAATGTGCTGAACACTCGTGCATAAAACACAGTGATTCAATGAATATCAGGGTTTAATTTATCATGGGATATGTTCTGAGGCCCCCCGCAACACCAAATTCCTGTGACCCCCCCTCCACACCACCTTCCATCCCTGACAGTGGACAGGGGGAGGCAGGGACATTTTACAGAGCTCGGTCCCAGACAGCTCCAGTTGAAATGAAGCCCTAATTCTCGTTCTTTAATAAAGCGTTTTAATATTCGTAGCAAACCTCGGAGCGAATAATGTCTGTGCTGCTCCTGCGCACAGTCCATTTACAACGCACCAATCGCAAAGCAGAGACACCGACGGGGCTTTTAACAAAACACCAAGTGTTATCGTGTTATAATACTTTGCATATTATATACATATCTTATTGGTGTTTAAGGGCACGTTATACTACTGCTTTGGTTCTCCCCGGGTTGTGCTGCATGGCTCTCCGATGGCTTTTCAGGTTGTACCGCCTTGTTGCTGCTGCTGCTACTGCAGCAGGAGCTTCCAGCACGTGAAGTGAAATATCAGACATCCTACCGATCGACACAGACTACAACCTGAAAACACATCGGAGAACGAAGCGCACTGAGTGCGAGGAGATGGGATCGGAGGCTGACATTGTATAATCCTTCCGAAGCTAAAGTTGTACTTAATCCCACGGAATGACGGGGTTAGTTTTGAATGTCATGTTTAATGCATGCAGCAGCACATATACGCATGTGTTGTACTGAGCATGACGTTTTTATTTGATGCAGTGTCATGTAGAGCAGTATTCGCACAAAATACGTTTCCAAAGAAAAACGGCTGCGACGTTTTCTGACCGCATACAGGGAGAGCTTAAATCTGAGTATCGACCCGAGTACGAGTGCAGTGCTAACCAGCGCTTACATTTCTGAAGTATTTTCCACGTCGCCGGTAGATTGGAGTACGTGGCACGTGCCTGGCAGATCCAACCCATAGCGAGACGTATACTGGACGTGGTGCGCCAGGCGTGGAAATATTCTCCCGGCTGAAATGAAGCCCTGGCGCTAACGGACACTCGTCGACGTTCCGTGCGGAGGCGTGCGTGCGGGGTGACTGCGCCCTCTTACTCGTGTCCTTGCGGGAAAGCGGCTGGCCTGCATGCGTGTTGCATCGGTACGTTTCACTTGCTCGTTTGATTTATTTAATGTCTGCCAACAAGCCTTCGGACGTACGCGTCATTTTAAAGGGACCGCGTTTGCTTGGCCAAATTACAATTGGTAACCGTTTTACCGTTTCCACTGTCAACGTTTTACACATGTCGATTAAAGATGCTGTTGAAACGCATCAGGTCGCAGATTGTGTGTGCTTGTGTGCGCTTTAAGCATCATAAAATACCGGCTAAAAGTGCTCTCAAACTCTGTGCGACAGACCTAGAGCTCAGCCTTCATGCATATGCCAAAACGATCAGCATTTCTTGAAGTGCACTGTGGTTCTCTTGTCTTAGGCCACCATCACAATAAATGTGTGAGCAAAGTGTTAAGTGCAATAGTGGCCTCAGACAAGAGGACCACAATGCATTTGTTCAGGAAATGCTGATGGGTTGTTTTGCATATGCACAAAGCCTGTGTTGATGTTTACAATATCTGTGTGTTGTTGGAAACCTGTGATTTTCCAGCCTGCACTATTTTGTTCCGATGGATATTTATCGCCATTTACAGAGTGGATGATGAGAACTCGAGACGTCACCCCGACGGTGTGTTCTGGCATTTTTGCAAACTCGAGTTGGTGTCTGAATTTGGGTTGCAGCCAAATTTTCTTCACGGGTTTGCTTGATTTTCCTCCTCCATAATTCTGGCCGAGGGGAAAATACATCGCCAAATGTGTTAATGTTGTAGGTAACAATATTACAAGTAATATTTCATTTTCTCTGCAACACAGGTTTGGTATTTTACTCTCAAGTATTTCTGGGACAGTCTTTCTTGGAAACATTTTTGGGAAAGACCTGCCAAGTAACTCTACCAATTAATGGAGATATCACATTTTTACCAATGAAAGTGATCCTTGAACTCGGATTATGGGATAACTCCGGCTGACTAGAATTGGCACTCCCACGAAAACTCGGTATTAGACGCAAAGTGCACCGAAGCAATCGTTTCCTGGCGAAATGGCCACGCACACGTGCTCATTAAATATTGACGCAGGTGCAATGGAGCGTGTGTAATTTACTCAGCCTGATCAGCGGCTGTCCGGCCTTTACAATGCCTCCAGGCAATGGCCCACATTGCAATCAGCATTGTCAGCAGATCCGCCTACAGCCATATCACGTGGAAAATTAAAAACAAGGTGTCCGATTGCAGAAACATCAGACCATCGACCACACAGCAGTGATCAACATTCTACGGAGGAAATGAAGCAATCCACCCCACATCAACCGAAACCATTTCCTAGCTACTTATCTTGACCTATAAGTTGCTATCCATCCAGATGTAGGCGACGAGAGCTGCTCCTCCAGCAGGTGGCAATATGTAACGCTGGGATTATCGCTTTCGTCGATTAAGCGATGAACACTGTCATCGGCTACTTGTTTTCAGTCGATTACTTGGACCCCTTTAAAATGGCAGCCACAATGACACCCTTGCCCCTTGACAGGAAACCCAGCGTGGCACAGCTGATGATCCCATTGATTTCAACTAGCCCCGTCTGTCACCTCCCGTCCAGTGGCACAAGGGGGAACAGAGGCGAGACTTTTTTTCCCAACGACAATGTTTCATATTTATCATATTAGTCGAGTAATCAAAGTGATAATCGCTAGAGCCATAGATTACTTAAAGAATCGGATAACCTGGCCGGAGCAGCATGAACCTCAGGATCACCACAGCCGTTAATGGTGTGAAACAGTGGTTAAAAACTGGTCTGGCAGAAAGTTTCATTTAAAAAAAAGAGACAACTGGACATTTAAACT